TTGACTAACAGTTGGTGGTGAGATAATTATAACTAACTTAATAAAGCTTGAAGTTGATACTAACAAAGCTACTGTTATAGTTTAAGATTGTGGTGCTCTTTAAGGTGCCCTTGGTGAACAAAACTTGACATAAATTTTTGGTTTAGATAACCATATTCACCACGAAACAAATTGTGAGTTGGAATTTACTTCAGTTACTTATTCTGATAGAATTTACTAACATTTAATCATATACAGTATACTCGAAAGGGTGCTAGCTGCGCAAAATAGTGGCATAAGGTATTCAAGATAGTCTCGAGGCACATCATAAGTAAGTACATCTAGGTTTCTCTTGTGATACACTCCAGGCATTCTTGACTGGTTTGTTTTGATGATGACTCGGTTTATTTTGACGTGACTTTGCTGGTAACTTGAACCTACTAATTGAACATTAGCATAGAGATGGCCACGGTTTCAATGGGCATTTCTTTTACAGATTTTCACTATTGGTTTTGGTATTGCTAGGCTGATATGATTATACTGTGATATGGATGTTATATTTGATTGGGATACTGACTAAACGATCATATGGATAACTGGAATGCAATATGATTATGTTCAGCTAGCTTTAAGAGAATCTAGTTTCATTTCATATTGTTCTTGATGTCCAGCAGCTTTGAAACTACCCCAGATTTAGATTTATCGTATATAGAGCTATATAACCAACCCAAAAATAGATAATATTGTAACCAATCAATTCAAGGACCTTTTGTAATACTGCAAAGCTGATTCTAATGTAATGTAAAGCCTGTATACTCTATGTGCTATGTATGTAATTTATCATTTTGAGCTATGCTGCACTTCGTTCTTATGCTAGATGACGATTATTCTTTCGAGTCGAATTGGCCTACACGTGATAGAAAACGTGACTGAATGTCTTTTGTCTCTTCTCCCAACGGACAAGATTTTTTCGCTACAACATTTTTTCATGAAAGCTGATTATATAATCTCCCACACTAAATTTTCAGGAAAAAATGCTTCATCCCGTACTTTTATGTGCATCGACCAAATATTAAAACATTAATAATGGCCTGCAGGTTTTTTATAAGTTCATAATTCAGCTAATTATAACCTGTTTTAATTATTCTCATTTATAATATTCCCTTTTAATATTCCCTTTTATAATTATATAAATCAGTCATGATAGACTGAATATCAGTCTGATCCAGTGATTTTGTACATTATATTTTATAATTAATATATCAATATTATTTTTATATTATAAAACAAGCGAGTGAGTGTAGCCTTCGGCTTGTGTAGACTTAGGCGAGATTTGGAGGAAAAGCAGACGCTGATCGTATATTTATATTACAACTTAAAAACCTGCTTCAACTCCTGGTTGGCATTGTTGATATTCGACATCTGTACTCAGTAGCATGGAAACTTGAGTATCTCCACCTAGAAAGACTAAAGTTCCAACAAAACATTGAGATATGAGCTTTTGAGTTGTATGAATCCATTATAGTACGCAGCACCATACTCATCACTTCTTAATCAGCACTATCAATTCACCAGGACACCCTACACCCTACACCACCAGCAGAAGTCTCATCTATTAGAGCATCCTCAATCCACCAGTACACCCTACACCCTACCCACCAGAGTCTTATTCTATCCTTGAAAGCTTGAACTTACCTAATAAAGCATTCTCAATTCACCAGTACTTCATATAGTACCCAACACCATAGTCGACATTTCTTTAATATTCCTCGATCCACCAGTACACCCTGCCCATTAGAACATTCCCAATCCACCAGTACACCCTACACCATTCTCCACCAGCAGAAGCTTTATCTATTCCACTCATGAAATCTTGGACTCATCTAATAAAGCAATCTAAATTTCCTATAATACACAACACCATAGTCGACATTTCTTTAGTATTCCTCCAATCCACCAGTACACCCTGTAGCGTCATTATGGAACCCAGACACTCAGTAAAGCCAGGATGGTACCTAAACACCCTGTAATACCATTGATGTGCCCAACACCATAGTCAACACTTCTTCAGTATTCTCATTTCACCTGTACACCAGACACCCTACACAACAGCTGCAGAAGCTTCATCTATTGAAGCATATGGTTGAAGCTTGAATGTGGAATATCCTATAATAACTTTCGTCATTAATTATCGACATTTCCCAAACCTCATCGTATGAAACTCTGAAGCAGCACCATAGACATCACATTTTTAGCATTTTCAATTCCAAATACAACGTCTGTGAAATTCTGCCACCCTAAGAGTATGGGTTTGGAAAGTAACTTGACACTTCTTAAAGCCATGATTGAGTAGTAATGAGAGTAACTGGTAAACCATCTTGGAATTAACATTGAGTCTGATTACATTTCAAATCATCAAATTGCAGGTTTGGTTAAAGAAGCATTCAATCTTTGGGCACATACCATGTCTCCATGTACAGTCAAAAGATTATTATTCATTGTGAAGATTAAGAGCGTCTCATTTTGTCATGAACTTGATTTGAATTGTTTTTCATAGACGTTGATGTAGAAAAAGGTCAATGTTTACATTTGTTTTTCTCACGCCATCTTGAATCGGAGGTCGGAAACACTAAAACACCAACTTTGAACAGCAATAAGTCGAAAACTAAAGCGACAACAGGGTCTCATATTACAGGACGTTCATATTGACGTCGAGCCGATTCATTCCATGTAGGTCTCATGTTCGAAATAATTTTTTGCCCCTGCTTTTAAAATTTCTATAATAATATTTAGATATATTATTATATTACTGCACTGCAATATCAGATATATACGTCGTTAATTAGTACGTCAATATAATTATAATATAATTATATCATGATCATGAATATCATTGATTAAAATATATTATAAAATATAATTAACTACTAGGCGCTAGTAGTTCGTTGCATTCATGAATTATTAGTCGTCTACGGTACACCATCATGCAGATGAATTAGCTGGATATTGTTTAAATTATCAATATTCTCAATTAGTACAAGAACATTATGTTATAATATATTATAAGGTGAAATATTGGTAGAATCAAAAAAGATCTTACTGCTTTCAATATATATAAGTAGTCCAAATCGAAAGTGTTTAATTGATGTCTAGAAAGATTCTTAAATAATGCATGAGTGAACCACAAAAAACACTATCAAGATATTCACGGTATAGGGATGGCCAACATAGAGTACAAGTCTCAAAATACTCTCAAAACAACCATTCACCACCAAAATTTGACCCCGAATTTTCCAAAACAGCGGTTTTCATGGACCCTTGGATGGATTTTTCAACCCCATTGACTGGGTTTTCCCTGGTTTTCCGCGAATTTTCGCTGGTTTTTGAGAATCAGGGAAATATATCAAGAGAAAATGCCATAGATACCTGCTGAAATTGGGCCTCCAACACATCAGCGGTACTCTAAAAACATGTTTATATGTTGTATTCCCACCTGTAGATTCTGATGCAACTCTCAGTTTCTCACATGGTTCCATGGTTATGGCCCTGGCTCCCATTTTATCGGGTTTGAAATCCCCCTTTTCACCACTCGACCCCCTTCTTGACCGAAAACTTGTTAGCAAAGTATCTTGGATCAATAAGATTGAATTGGAAATGGAACCCTCATGTGATAAGCTCCTTAAAGATCTTTCAACCCCTTCGAAACCTCTCTCCGTTTCAAAAATATCACCAAAATTATCCAAAATTTTCACTTTCACAACATCCTTCTTTTCCCCACAACTTTCCAAAAAGTATCTCGCTCTTCCCAATCTCAACTGCAAATGTTGTATTCAGTCAGTATGATGGTCTGAGTGAAAGATAACTACCGATATAACTGGTTTTAGATAAAGCAAAAGCATTGTTTCATCCGATTTCTGAGCCATACAATGTTTTCCTCGACCATTTTTTAAATTGTTGTAAAAGTCAAAATAATTACATAATACAGGTCGGAATAGCACGTTTTAGTCACGTGCAATACCTCGGAATATGGATTATGTGGCGCGTACCAATAGAGGTCTGCATAAGTATCAAAACTGCTGTGACGTTTGAGTATAATATCAAGTGGTCAGATTTTTTATGACTTTTGTTCTCTTCATGATGAAACATGTTTCTTGAGCTTTCACAAGGTTGAGTGCAGGTGAACTTTTCGATTTCGATCTTCAATACAGCAAGTTTAAAGCAATCGCATATATTAAGTAACTTTGGCCAAAAACTCGCAAAGGAAGGGTTTTCAATTATCATTGATAACCATCCAAGGGTTATGGAAGGTCTTTTTGTAGTTATATGTAACTTCCAAGAACCCAGTGTCTTCATCAGTACACATATCACCACCAGAAGGACCTAAATGAGGACAATGAACATTTGGTCTATATTCAATCATATTTTGATGCAATGATCTACACCAAACTGTATTTCTACCACCTTCATAATCTTTACCTAATCTTGTCTTGGTCAAATAATCAATACAATCTTGTTTGGAATCATATTGTGGATAATCTTTTTGACAATAATGATCATGGACATCACAGATTGATTTCACTAGCAAGCCTTGTAATTGTTTATAGCCTTCCTCTGGGATTTCAGTAGCTGTCTTGTTCCCAGATAATGCTTGATAACCAGCTAATTCAATAGCTTCAAATAATCTTTCAAATTTCAAGAAAGTTAAATCATATTGAACAATTTCTTTATATTCATTCAATTTGATCCAAATATTGACAGCAATTGGTAAACTGGCATTACCTAAACTTGGGAAAGTACCATTATTAACAACAGACATGGTATATTGGTTACAATTACCCAAAAACTCATAAACATCATAAGAAGTTGAATAACCAATCAAGTTAGTGACGGCATTATCTGACAATTGAGAGAATAACCCGAAGAGGTATTCAGTATTTAACTCTTTTCCTTCAAAGTTTCTTGTAACATCAATACGGCCAACAACATCTTCAGCAAAATATGAACTATTGATAGATTTAGCTTGTTCAACATTGTTTGGATATAGGTAATCATTAGCAAATGAAATAGCGTGTTGAAATAGTTCTTCATTAGAGAAGTAACATTGTTGATCTTTTTTAATTTCCTTGATTTGATCGTTAGCTAGATCGATATATTTCTGATCAATTTGGAATGTCTCATGAGACCCAGATGAAGTTGAAGATGGGGTTGATTTTGAAGAGACAGCCTTATTAACAATGCGTAATTGTCTGACAGGCGAAGCACTTATGTTGGTAAGTATTAGGGAACCAGCTAGCAAAAATGATGTGAGCTTCATTATGGATCTGTTGTTCTTGTGAAGGAATGATATTAAAATAAAGGGAGTACAAGAATCAAGATGGTTCTTTTCTTGGGTTTATATACCAATATGATCCCTTCATGAGAGATTTGACTGGCGATATGTACTGTCGGTTCTTGTCTGTCATTCTGTCTCCCATTCTTTTGGGCTTTGCTGTTTCCAACTTTACGAGTGATTGATCTTCATTAAACCAACTTTCTTTTGTAGATGTGATCTCGGAACAAAAAAGACTTATGGTTCCCTTATATCAATTCTCCAACCACTTAACTGAAGCTTAGCACCAGTTCTATGTGTCTTCATGTCCATGTAATATCCAACGTCAACTTGAATCTATTCAACCGAAGCCTTTGACTATGAGCATGTCGTGTTAAATAAAAAACACGGTGCATTTTTGGTGTACCAAATTCCAATTTGAGATCAAATTCAGCAGTTGCAAATATGAAACCTCAAATCAAAGGCACCATTGAGAATTCGAATCATTCTTTATTCCTGATTTGAAAGTTGAAGCCCTCAGCACGTACAGTCTAAAGTTTCTTCACCATTAACGAACAATTTTTGTATGCAATTCGCGTCTCATCGCGGTGCTTTTGAGAAAGTGATCCGCGTCGTGTGTTTTGATTTCAAAATAATTGTAGCCAACGTTTCTCAAGATTTCATGAGTTTTGTAAAGGAAACTAAGCGAAATTGTGAATCATGATACAACAAATTCCAACCGTCTAGTTTCAGATGAAATCAACTATTGGAATGCTTGTGTCTAAGGTATATTGTGGATCTTGATTCCTCCGTTGACAACTCATTGGTCAAATAGTTCGCGTGTTGAAAGACCAACGTGAGGCTACGATAATCAAGAGTTCAGTTCACAATCACTACACTGGCTTTTATAACTTTCTGTATCATTATAGATTATAAAAGAACTTCAAGTAACCCTATTCACCAAAATTTCTCCCACAAGGTTTTATGTGCACCTTTCCTCTCGATATTAGGCATCAAAACCCATGAAGTAACCATTGCAGCATAGCAGCCCAAGAACATGGGATGTAAGACATATGTTCCAGCAAATTCACTAACCATCCCAACGGCAAATGGGATTGCACTACCACCTGAACTACCAAATGCAGTTCCCAAGACCAAAGCGCAAAATCTTATCTTTCTTGGTAAGATTCTAGTCAATAATGAAACCATCATTGGATAAATTGGGCCAATACCTAACCCAATCAACGAAGCAAAGACAGCAGACCCAGCAGTGTTCGGTATTAGCCATGTCAATATATCAAATACCATTATGAATATGGACAATACCATAATTGAACGTCTGACACCAAATTGCTTTGATAAATAAGCTGTTAATAAAAGTCTCCCCAGAGTAATACCAGCCCAATAACCAGATGAAACATAACCTGTAGATGAAGGATTCCCGCCTCTATAATCTAGTAAAAAAGTGACGATCCAACCACCCATCGAAACTTCTGCCCCTTGGTAGAAAAATATAAATGAACAAGTAAGCCAAGATCTATAATCTTTGAACGCAGCTTTGAAATCATGCTTGTCATCAGAGTCAACAGGGTTCTTCACAGTTGTTTCATTATCATCAACCGGTTTAGTCTTCTTAGAAGTAATATAATCCATTTCCACATCTTCATGAGCTCTTGGTGGTGAATCTGTAAAGATTGGAGGTGTTTGAACCTCTTCAGTATCAACATGTTCCCATCTTTTCAAATCTTCATCACACCCTTTAAAAGCCAGTGTAACGAAAACTATATTGAACAATTCTAAACCGAGTAGTATCAGATAGAAATAATGCCATTTAACACCATGGTCAACCATAACTGTTCCTATCAATGGTGATAAAAAAGCACCAAATCCATAAGTCCCATGGAATAATCCAAGATACTTTGAACTTTTCTGTAATTTTGACAGGAATATATTGAATTGACTTAATCCAGTACCACCACCAATACCACCAAAGAACCAAGCAACAATCATAATTGGGTATTTCGTACCTGAAGATGCTATTGCAAACATTATTGTAAAGCAAATACAACTCAAAGTTGCCATTTTTTGCTTCCCCAAGTAATTATCCAAATGATGAGCAGTGAATGCGACAAGAATATATCCAACAGCATTACCTAGCCATAACAAGGAGACTAAAGCATAACTAATGTTATAATATTCCTCTATATGTGGTAATAAAGCACCCAACACACCATCAGTCATACCAACGGCCAAGGTCCATGTACATGTCGCAATCACTCTGTATAAATTTCTTGGTGGATTTCTCAAAGACATGATATTTTCATCAATCTTTGATAATAAAGGTGCAGCTGAAGTTGAACCCAATGGTGGTCCTAAAGTTGGACGTTGTTGTGATGGGAATTTGTCATTTGGTGGGATTAATGAATTTTCAAACATTCTTTGACTTAATTCATAACCTGGAGTTGTTGGTAAAGATTCAGGGACAGGTGGAGGAATTGAAGAGATTGGGAAGTTCAGACCTGTTGTTTGTCTTGAGGCGACAGATGATCTTCTATGGGGGATTGTGTGTTGAGATGGTGATGATTGAAATTCATTGAGTTGGCTCAATCGGGTGCTGACTTCTTCAAAGGAGATGCTCTCTTTGTTCTGTGTGAATTCTGGTGATCCTAAGTCATTATTATCACCATGAAGATGGGTAGGTTCAGTATGTGAATGTGTATCAGTTTGTGACATTGTAAACCTGTACTTTGCTTAAAAATTGTTACGTATGCCTGTAGCTGTTTAGTTTAAGTTTACCCTCTTGACTTTAGCGACTTAAGCACTATATAAAGTCTTTAATTGAGTAGCATCAACATCTATAATTCTGCAAAATAAATAAACTAAATGAGAGTGAAAGGGCGAGTTCAACGGCTTTTGAAGTTGTTCAGCTGAAAAGATATGGGAGAGAAAAAGAAACGCATATTCTCCATCATCTGTATGGCCACGAAGGTCCCGTTTTTAGCACCTGTTGCTGCTAAATTTGGGGATTAATCGAGGGTTTATGGTGTATTTGAATAGATTCAATTAGTGGATTGTGGATATCTCCATATTGCTCCCAACTGCTCTTCAAAAACCTTTATAATGGGTCATTTTTCGAATTCTACAAGGAATACATGGATTTCGCGAAAACCACTACCTTAGTTGTGGTGCTACTAGCTAATAGCTGGTAATTCGCTGGCTAGGTGGGCACCATAACTTAATTAAAGCATATATGTAGCAATCAATGCAAAAACTCTCTTTAGAGTTACCACAAAACATATTAAATTTGAGACAAACTTCGGTTTTTTCACGCCGTTCTTTCACAAGTGCAATTCGCGACCTTCTGGGGTAAATAATGCGGCGCACTCAGATCCAGAGTCCAGATCTCGGTGACTCAAAACACAAGAGCTAAAGGCAATCAGTTGTTTAAGTAGCTGAAAACGTTGATCTAGTTTCTAAATGTATTAAACGTGATTAACTGAGACCAACTCTTATCAATGATATGGAGAAGATTCTGACTACGAGAAGTGATTCAAGAAGCTTTGGAGTCTAATATCATTATATTTTGTTGAACAATCCTTTCAATGTTGAATCATTGGTGACCAACTCTTTGATATCGTTCTCTAACTTGTCTTCATCACATACTTTGCGTAATAATGCCACTAAAACCTTCAACTTTTCTTCAACATCTTCAGATTTTTCATATTTCTTGAATCCTAATACTATCATTCCCAGTATATCATATTTATGATTTTCAATCCTAGGCCAACCGTTCAGTAAAATGGCAATAAGACAGTGCAGCGCCTTGGAGAACAGTGTTTGGTGTAAATAGATGAAAGGATCAGCAATTATCATTCCTAAAGTGTATAATAATCTTGGAAGACATTTAACTGTGGTAATCCCCAAACATTCAACGATTCTGATCATATGGTCAGTCAAAATAGGCAAAATCTCAAAATTATCACGCACATTGTTAATGGACTGATAAATACCAGTGTTTAACAACTTTATTAGACGATCTTTGAAATCTGGAGTCTTGGAAAACATTCGTATCAACACAGGATATGTTTGCTTTTGGATCATTACTGATTGTTTAGTAGGTGTTAACTTTGGTAGATAGGTTAATAGCGGTGCAATAGCATCATAAAATATATCGATCATCCCTGTTAGTTTCAAATAATCATCATCAACTTTGGAAAGTAATATTGATAACAGCTCAACACCTTTTAACTTTATTGGGCCTTCATAATCATCAAGGATATTCAAGATTGTTGGTGATATTATCCACCAATATTCCTTCACTTTTGATCCTTCTAAATTCTCTAGTAGCAATTTGAAAAGAGATATTGAATCAATGTTTTCAGTTTTCCATTTGTAGCGTTGATCTTCGATTTCATTGAAGCCTAACCTTGGTCTTAACCCATTATTTAGATTCAATTTTTTGTAACCAGCTTGTGAAACTTTATTATTCTTCAAGTTTGAGAGCTTTGATTTCAATCCATTCACCAATTGGATCAAAACTTCGTCATCAATATCAATATGTGATAGAACTTCTTGACTAATCTTCAACATACTTTCACCACACCATGGAGCATCTATGTTAAAAGCACCAACACTTTCTAGTATCTCCATTTTATAGGTATTCAATAAGTCTTTCCTCTGGGTTACCACCTCTTTTGCAATGATCAATAAATTTCTTGCATGTTCTTTAAAATCAATTTGTATTCTATATTCGCCTTTTGTAACCGTATAATCATCAACCCACCAAATCCATTCAATTGTGGGCAGCTTAAGCAGATGCAAGACATTTTCTAGTGTCCTTATGACTTCAGTTGTATCTAAAATTGGTATCTTTGCTAATAAAACAGCTAATGCAGCTCTTTGATTTGTATGTGACAATAGGTAGTCCAACTTGACATCGCTATATTTCTCCTGTATTTCCAAATTGATGGCACTGGGTATTCCAGAATCTAATGATCTTCCTGCCAAAAGATCAAGCACTTCATTTTCCCAGTTCATTATGTGATTTATTACTTCAGTTTGGTTCAAAGTTGACAATATGATTTCGCAGCTCATCATCATCAACAATTTTCAACAGCCTTCAGTGCTCAAAACCAACTACAATCTTGAAGGATCGCGAACAGCATATCTCGAGCTCCTTCAAGATAGTTCATCTTGGAAGTCAATACCAGATAGCATCAGCCTTACCAATGTCAATGAAAATAGTATTCATGGACCACAATGGTCCCATGTGCAAGGCCTGGTCAAAAGATCTCAAATTGCTCACAGACCAATTGCAACTACAACTCAAATGGAACAAACAATACATCAAATTCTCTGTGCAGAATGCTAAACTACAGGATCTTGAAATAAACAATCAATACGGTCGTACAGCAATTGTGTCACCAGGAAACTCGCTTGGATATCTAGGTGGTGGGTTGGATAAACATATTGGTGAGATATTCAGTCCGAACAAAAACCATAAGGATGTAGAGAGATTCATCTTGGATGGATTGAACAATGGTTATAGACCACCTGGAACAGTTAAAATCATCACAATCCCTAATGAGAAATTGAGACGGTCTTTGGCTTTTGAAAAATTGCAGGCAAACAGCATAATTCACGCTCCAACTATGAGAAGCCCTATCAATCTGGTAAAGGATCTCGGTGAATCACATGCCTACAGGTTGATTTTTGATATTACATGGCAAATACTTACAGAAGTTGATGCATTTAACAAAAATTTGCACATTAAAGGGGGTGACAGAATAGAAACTATAGTTCTACCTGGATTGGGGACAGGATATGGTAAAATACCCTATGAAATGGCATCAAAATCAATGTTGGCAGCCGTTGGAATATTTACATCACACTTTACTCATGAAGAAAAATCAATTTTTGCACTAAGGTACCTAGGTTATAAACATCAAACATTATTGCCAACTCCTGAAACTATTCCTAATACCACTTTTGACCTCACAAAGAATGATTTGGTGGATTTGTTCAAGTTCTCCATATTCAATATGAAAGATTTCAAAGTTTCGTCACATTGAAGCTTCATCTTGCACCTCTACTTAACAATTCCTCTAATGATATATCATCCTCTTCTTCTTCTTTAGCCACAATTTCATCGACATTGTTCTTATCTTGTTTCTTTTGTCTTCCAATATATGACACATTTAGTAATTTGGCCAGTTTAGCAAGCTCATCTTGAGAGTTCTTAACCAACTTGGGGTCGGGCAAAGTGTCTTGAAGTAGCTTCCCTTCTAAAGGTGGTATTATATCTTCCTGTTTGCAATATTCTTTCAAACCACCTTCGAAAGTTGCACCTTTGATAGCAACGTCCTTCAAAACTAGATTATTTCTATGAATACCTGTAGCTAATTTGACCAAGTTATCATGATTCCCCAACGAGGTTGGCAATGGTAATAATGAACCAGCAGTCAATGGGTTGAAGATCCTTTTCTTGCCTTCAAAATCAGTCTCTTTCTCTTGATCCAAGTCCATACTTTTAATATAACTTTCCATTGCATCCAAAGCTTCATCACTTGGTAGGAACTTTTCATGTTTCTTTAGAACTTTCCCACTAGTTGTATGTGCTTCAGTTAACGGAGGGAAAGTTGAAATTTTTTCATCTTCAAAGAATGGTAACCTAGTCAATATCAAAGCTCTTATATCTTCCAAATTCTCATCCTCTGCTTTTCTCTTTGTAGAAGCACCATCATTCTTTTTTATATAAACAGGAATCAAAACAACCATTTGAACTTCTGAGTTTGGTTTCTGAACATATCTTGCTATAGCGAAAAGGTCCAACTCAGTTAAAGAATCAACAAACCCAGCTAATGCTCGTGTATCTTTCTCACTGCTCTTTTTACCAACAATGAAAACTGATTCAGAAGTTGAATAACATCTTGGCAATGCAGTATTTGACACGACACCTCTTATGTCAATACCTGGAGAAGTTTTATACTTTTTTTTATCCTCTAGCACAGGTGGCAACACCACTGTTGATTTACCGTATTTATAACCTTTTGATAGTTCTTCTTTATTAACTGGTTGTATATCATACTGGCGAGTTTCCAATTCATCCTCATCAGCATTTTCCATCTCGTTTTCATTGTCAAAGTCATTGGTATACAATCTTATTTCATAATCATTTGAAGTAGATATTGGTTCAGGTTCATCAGTTTTACTCAATCCATATATCTTTCGACCAGGAGGTCTGTCAATCTTTGTAGCTGGATAACCTTCAACGTCAAAGCAAACACAACTTATATCATCATGGGGTTGAAATGATTCATCAAGTAAATTGGCACCGATTCTAAATTCACCTGAAAATGTCTTGACAGGCCTCACTATTTTAGGATTTGGATATTCAATGAGATCATTCGCTTTTTTCCCACTCATTAATACTGACCCTGGTAGTTGATTGAATAACTGTTCCCAGCTTTGTCTATTTGTCACATAATCGTGAACTTCTGTAGGATTATCAAAGTCTGCACCAATCAGAATCATATTGAAATTTGAAGCAGTGACAATTTCCACAATGGCCTGTGAATACTCATCATCTAATTCTGGCGTGTTTACTGAATTTGTAACTAGAACAACATTCTTTTTAAACTTTTTTTTACCAACAAAGTTATTTGTACTTTGAAATGTTAATAAAAGTGCTCTAATAATACCATCATGATCATCTTCGTCGTATTCTTTTGGATTGGGATGGAGGTCAAGGTCTCGGAGATCTTCATAAAAAGGCCTGTGAAACGTTAATATAGGTTAAAGGACTTCATTTATGGGCACACATACTGCTTGAATTCTGAAATGACAGAGATATGCTGAAGCTTGGCTGGATTGTTGGATTCTAAAGATATTGTTAGTCTAAAATTTCTCGAATTCATTTGTAGCTACTCACCTTCAGAATCAACCGTTATCAATGATATTAAATCTGTTTTTCTTCCTTTGATAATCTATAACATTGTTAGCACGCCTCTAAAATGGTAAATGACAGAATAACATACTTTACTGGCAACAACATCCTTCACGTATTTCAACCCATACTCCAAGTCTGACACACCATGCCCATTGTGAGCACCACCCATTGCAGCCCCAACATCAATGATGAAAGCGGTAATCTGAACAAATGTTAGTCAATTGCACATAGAAGGCATAAATCTACACCATACCCACCTCCTTATCAGCCATGATCACCTTTCTTAATACCTTCAAGCCAATTCACCTTGTGTTCATCCAAAACGAAAACAGTCTAAAAATCAAAACGCGACAACAAGTGAAAATTCGCGAAAACTGTTTATAGTGAACTACAAATTTTGAACATCTTCAATTGATTAATATTAACTGATTCTATGGTAATCGTGTGGCTGGGTTTTTTATAAAGCCATCCTTACTCTTCTCTAAATGTCCAGAAAGTCTCAGTATACTCAAAAAATCATTACAAACATCACTGTGCTTTTCCAACTTGGAGGTTCCCTCATCAAGTCTATGCGCACTAGCAAAGTCAAAAAAAGTGACAGTACCGTCCTCATTAACGCTGATATTCTCCATCAGTTTACCATGTGTGATTCCAACTTTGTGTAGTTTTTCAACTTCGTGTGTGATGTTTGGAATATCACTTCTTGAAAGCCTCTCGTGGACCTTAATGTATTGGAAACAAATGTAGAACCCATAGAACGTATTCTCCCTGATAATAGCACCATATGAAAGCATATCTGGACAATTGATCTTGTCTTCCCCTCTTGAACATGATGCATTATGACTTCTTATGAATTTATTTATGTTAACCTCTCGGGTAAACTGCGAAATAACCTTTCGATGATAAGCTTCATCGGAAGTGATTAACGGGTCCATCTCTGCAATGTGTTCAATGTTTCTAAAGTAATATTCAAAGATTTCACGGATGTCATAAACTTTCAAAAAGACATCGTCTCTGTAATTGTTTGTATTTTGTAATCGGTGTAACTCATCTCCATTCAAATCAAAGAACTCTTTGAATGAATCAGCCTCTATCAAATACTTGTTGGTGACTCTATCTGGATACACTACCGCTGGTAGTAGGAGAATTGATCTGTTGGTTTCCGGTAAACTGACAACTTTCAATTTGGTATTTTTGATTATCTGGCTAAACTCTTTGTCAAGTTTGGAAAATTCCTCGCCCCTATTAATGAACATCTTAATCTATATGCAATATTGTGCTGAAGCTGGTGAATAACCAATTTGGAGAGCATTGGATAGGTTGATATTGGTTTCTTTTATAGTTTGAGGTCTGATGTAGGTGAATAGGAGTGAACAGAAATTTTGACAATTTTTTTTTCTGTTGGAAAAAACATCAGGCTGACAAAAACAACACCATGATAAACTTGTATAAAACAAGTCAGAATTGACCCACAAAGATATTAGCGGCTAAAGATAATGAAACAATTGATCGTGTGTATTTGATGTGCTCTTGTTTATAGACATTTGCCAGCAAAGTAATAAATTATACAGGTGGGCTCACCTTGGTCAACACATCCTCAACAATCAACTGTGGTGCCATTCTCTTCATAAGCTCATTAACTAATTCTGGGTCACTCCCCCACTGGAGAGATGGTTCATGCTCTGGTTTGATCATTTTAATTTTCAATGGTAATAGCTTCCGACTTGCCAACTTGATAATAGATGGGATAACGAAACCTCTGTTAAACAGTACACATAATGCTTTTGATAAGAGTTCAAGCTCTGAAATACATCTCCCAGGAAGGCCCGTATTTACACATCTATGTGTCCTTATGAATATCACTATATCATAGATATATCTCTTCATCTCTGGCACAATAACAACACTATTGATGGAATCACCGATTGTCTTGAACTTTCGTATCATTTCTGCACTTGACTCAACATTCTTTAAATCTAAATGGCTGATTGAGTTTGCTTGAGGATCATGGGGTTGTTTAAACCAAAATGCATCTTGTAAATACCTAAAGAGTTGCTTATCTTTGGCATTATAATCATCCAATACACCAACCACTGTGAACAGTTCACTTCCAAAATACGTCTTTTCGTTATATCGAATTTTTTTTGTCCTTATTATTTCCAAGATCAAACTTTGCATGGTATTTGATAACTTATCCATCCCACTAATAACATATATGGCATTCAAGCTTTGATTCTGGGCTCCATCAATGAAAAAATTGAGTATATCATCACCAGTTGTTTCAATACCTTCACCAACACGTAGTACTTTCACCTGAAGCCTCCAAGCATGTCCAATTATAGTCTTTAGTTCAACCTCAGTTGCACTTGGATCACTTGAGGAAACCAAAATGTGTCTCTTTGTTATGGCACCGAGCATCAACGCCACGTACAGATTGTTATCGAAATCAACTCCGAGCTGTTCCTTGTAGCTATTGATTTCATCTTGGACAGCCATTTGTATAAACAATGAAATTCACCACAATAGCATCCAGAAATTTGACACAAAAGTTATTCAAGACAGATTTTGTTTACACTTCATTTTCGTTCTTCTTAAAAAAAAAAAAAAAAAAAAAGTAGTGCTCGGGCCGATGAATTTTTTTTAACAAAAATTTATTTCAGAAGCTCATCTCATTATTCCAAAAGCCAATAAGGATAACCCACAAGAACAAGATATTGCAAGATGGCCAAACTAGTGCATAATGTGCAGAAGAAGCAACACAGGGAACGTGCTCAACCAGGAGACAGAAAAAAATATGGTTTGCTAGAGAAGAAGAAGGATTATCAATTACGTGCGAGAGATTATCATCAAAAACAAGCCACTTTGAAATCATTGAAGCAAAAAGTACAAGCCAGAAACCCAGATGAATATTATCATGCTATGACAAATAAGAAGACCGACAGTAGGGGTATTCTCATATCTGAAAGAGATACAGAAGCCTTAAGTACGGGTCAAGTGAAGTTACTAAAGACACAAGATTCAAGTTATATAAAGACTTTGAGAAATGAAGAGGCTAAAAAAATTGAAAGATTGGAGAAAACTTTGAATTTTAAGAGTAGTGGGAAACATACAGTTTTTGTACAAGATGAAATTGCTAAAAAGGAATTTGATCCTGTGAAATTTTTCCAAACTGATAGAAATTTATTGAATGCTAGAGAAAATAGATTAAGATTAGATCAATTACAAACTGACCAAAGTCTGGTACCAAGACTAGATGAAGATGCTATGCCTAAGGAATCTTTAGATAAAAAGAGAATAAAGAAATTTTCGCAATTGAAGGCACATCTTGAAAGACAAAAAGAATTGAAAGAAGTTGAAGAAAGAATGGATATTCAAAGAGAAGGTATGAAGAATGGTAACAAAAAGAAAGTTGTTGATGCTATTGGAAGAACAACTTACAAATTCAAGAAAGAACGTAAGCGTTAAAACAAAGTGTTATCACAAATACAACAATCCAGAATCGTCATGACCCCCCAAAATTTGTATATTATCTAATCTTTAAGCATTTTTTTTTGCTTCTAAGCACTATTAACTTTCCATTTTTTAAGTGTAGCATCATTACCACCACTTATAATTTCATCAGCACTGATCCATTCAACTGTATTGACACCATCTTTATGAGCACCAAGGAACTTGATGTTTTTAATAGGTTTGTCAACTTGATAGACAATAATATTTGTATCTAATGAACCACTAACAACTCTATTGTTATCCTTATTCCAAGATATTGAATTTATACGACCAGTATGGAATACCCATCTAGATGTTTGAATTTCCTTCTTTTCAACATTGTACAAAATGATTTTACCAGAAACATCACCAACAGCTAAATATTCTCCATTTGGAGAGAATGATAGATAGCTTGGTGCAGCTCTTGTTGGTGGTAAATCAAATTCTTTTGAGCCTGAAGTGGCATTATAAAGGGTTATTGTATTATTTTGAAATCCAACTGCAATGTATTTTGAAGAAGCACCAACTGCTGTGGCTGTAGATGATAATTTTGTTTGGAAAGATTCCTTACCATTAGCGAAAGCTATCAAAATCTCTTCAGTGATAATGGCAACTAGTTTTGAGTCATATGAGACACTTTTTGGTTGTCCAGGTAATTCACTTGAAATTTTACCATCTAATGATTTTAATTTATCATCCCAACCAACTGAGTAAACTGAATCTTCAGTAGCAGCTAACCCTGCAATTAAGTTTGAATGGCCTTCTTCATATTCTGCGGATCCCTTTTCAAGATCCCATTTAGCAATTCTTCCATCATAACTACCAGTGATTAACCAATCTTTGGTCACTGTAGATGCAGTGATTGATTTTTGATGACCTTTAACAGATTTAACTGGTTTATCAGAATCTTGAGTGAAATAATTCAAATCACCAGAGTATGATAAAGCAATAACATACTTATCAGTTGCAATAACACCAACTTGTTGATTTTCAAGTTTTTTCTCCAATTCCCAACTTTTCAACAATTCACCATCACTAACATTCCATAATTTCACTGTAGCATCGGCAGATGATGTAACAAATTTTTCATTATCAACCCAACTGATGGCATGAATACCACCTTGATGTTTACCTTCTCCAATTTTTTTAATAAATTCACCAGTCTTACCATCATAAACAACAATATTTCTATCAGCACCAACACTCACCAAGAATTCACCACTTGGTGAATATCTTACATCTCTAACAAAGTTGGTATGATTTCCTCTTGCTGTTGAGTTAAATCTGAAAGGGGGACCATGATAAAACACTAAAGCAGAATCATCACCAACAGTAGCAGCTCTATAAGGTCTAGCAGGTCTAATTGTAACTGCATTGATTTGTGCACTATGTCCAGAAATTTCACCAACGGTATTACCAGAATCCCAAGTGAAGGCATGACCATAACGTTCTTTACCATTACCTACAGCAATGATTCTTTGCGAATCAGCATCCCATGCAATATCATTTATACGACCATTAATGATTTGATATTCACCTTTAACTATTAAATCTTCACCCACAGTATCCCAAATTTTGACATTACCAGATTCGTCACCAGAAGCAATATAGAAACCTGATGGGGCAAATTTTGCAACAGTGGTGTTAAAAGTATGGTTTGTAAATTGGACAGATTCTTCAGGTTTTTCAACTGATCTTATAAAGATTGATTTCCCTGACTTTCAAGTTGTTAGAATAACAGATCCAAAGAAAATGATAACCCAATGATACTCACGGCATAAGCAATTCTATCAGATTTTTTGTCATATGACAAATGAGTGGTAATGGCTCTTGCAGTATTAGGCAGCGGAGCCCATATAGCTTCTCTTTCAATTGACATCAGAGTACTTTCTTTGTTGATTTCTAATTGTTTACGTTTCACGTTTGACTTTTGGCTCCTTTTCAATTCAGAAATCGAAGGATTCTTGAAACGGGCCACGACGATTTGAAGAGTTCGCGAGTTCGCGTAAGACTGCCATTTCCACACGGTTCAGTCCACTCAAATTTTTTTTTTTTTCATAGAGAAGACATTTAAAAAAAATTAGTATAGAGATGAGTTTGAATAAATCGAAAGTCACTAATACATCAAACCCATGTCATCCAATAAGCAAAGAGTCGCAGTGGTAAAGAATCCAGTGCTTCCGGCACAGACCACTCCAGAACAACGTTACTGGAGAGGTTATACTAATACTCAGATAGTCAAAGAACATAATGCTGTCAGCCATATCTGTTTCAATCCTATAGCACCACATGATTTTGCCATAACTAGTAGTACCAGAATCCAAGTGTTTTCTTCAAGAACTAGAGAAGTCACTAAATCATTTTCAAGATTTAAAGATACAGTATACAGTGGTGAATATAGATATGATGGTAAATTATTAGTTGCTGGTGATGCATCTGGTTTAGTTCAAATTTTTGATGCTATAAAACAAAGAACTTTACTAGTTACAATAAGACCATCAACACATCCTACTCAAGTTACAAAATTCCATCCAACCATTTCTACTAATTTATTGACTGCTTCAGATGATAGAATTGCTAGATTATTTGATATTTCTAATGCAGAAAATCCAATAATAACATTCGATGATCATGAAGATTATATCAGAACTGCAAATTTCATACCTTCGTCCAACTTAATAACGACAGGTTGTTATGATGGATTTATCAGAATCTTTGATGCAAGAGTTGGATCAGATCCAGTTGCTAAATTCAAACAAAATTCTCCAGTTGAAGACATTTTACCATTAACTCCAACAAGTATGGTTAGTGCAGGTGGTCCATCAATCAAGATTTGGGATATGGCTGCAGGTAAATTAGTTAATGAAAGATCAAATTTCCAAAAAACTGTTACATGTCTTGCAAATGCTGGTGATGATAGAGGTATCTTGGCTGGTTCTTTAGATGGCCATGTTAAAGTATTTGATTCAGTTAATTGGGATGTTAAATTTGGTTGGAAATTTGGTGGTGGTGTGCTAAGTTGTGGAGTTTCACCAGATTCAAAACATTTTGTTGCAGGTTTAACTTCAGGTTTATTATCAATTAGAACTAGAAAAACTGAAGCAAAAGTCAAACAAGGTGTTAAACAAGTTAAATCAAATGCTTTTAAGAAAATGTTGAGAGGTGCTGAATATCATGGTGAAGAGGAACATCGTATTGTCAGTGATAAACCAAAACCAACAAGAAAATTGAAAACTTATGAAAAGCATTTGAATGGATTTAGATGGAGTGAGGCTTTAGATTCTGCCTTCATTCCAGGTATGGCTAAAGAAATCACAGTTACAGTTTTAGAAGAATTAAAGAAAAGAGGTAAAGTTAGAGCATCATTATATGGACGTGATGAAACAAGTTTAGAACCAATTTTAACCTGGTCATTAAAAGCAGTTGAAGATGTTCGTAGTGTTAATATAGTTGCTGATTGGGTTGCTGTTATAATAGAATTGTATGGGGGTATGATTGAAAAAGCACCAGTTTTAGAAGAGTTGATTTTAACATTACGTAAAAAAATTTCCCAAGAAGTTGAAAAGGCAAGAGAGGCTCAAAAAATTGAAGGTATGCTTCAGTTATTGACTGCCAATTGAAAAAACTACATTTGTATATTAGAAAACAAAATTAATGCATTTTTTAACTCACCAACCACGACTTTTTTTACCAAAATTCCGTTTTTTAGATCTATCACGTAGTTTTAATCTTTTGAAATTTTGGCTTTCATTAGTTTTCCTCTTTTTAGCGGTAGGATCTTCAGGTTTACGAGCTTTGGGGATATATTCATCAGGACCATCAGACCATTCTTCTGACTCTTCAGATTCTTCAGGTTCAAAATCTTGTTTGACATCTGAAAGTTTCGCAATCTCTTTTTGAACATCTTTACCCTCCATTGTATTTTTATCAGTTGTTGGACGAGCTTTGATAACATATCTTCTTGTTGTTCTTTTCTGAGTTTTCTTCTTTTTCCATTTAGGTATTGTCGAATTTTCTCCTTCGTCATCTTCAGCTTCTTCCTCAATATCTTGCAAAGGATTGATATCTAATTCTTCTTCATCAAAATCACCATATTTCAACTCAGCTTGAATATCACGAAATTCACTTATAATTGTAGTTAACCCTTTCTTGATTCTTTGAGTAGCTAGAGGTGATGGTGATGCCGTTATTTCTTTTGATCCCCCAGGTCTAAGATACAATGGAGTTTCTTGGACTTTAAGCATAGGTTTCTGAGGTGTTTTGAATTGAGCTTCTTGAGTTATATCCTCCTCATCATCATCGTCAACTAATTGTGAAAAATCAAGATTTTTCTTTGCTGGCGTCAATGTTGTCTCTTCTTTGGTAACCACGGTACTTGTTTGTGGTGTTGTCTTTGGACTTGTAATAACTTCGAAAAGACCTAGTACGCGACCATTTAGTTGTGGAGTTGGTCCTAGTTCATCAACATCTATAGGTGTTTCTGGGTGTTGAGGAGAGGATGTCTTGTGAGGTGTATGGAATTGTGGGATCACTTTTGTTCTGTTTTTAGTCGGTGTTGAATATTTTGCCTTAGCTTTTTCCTTGGGTACTCCATATTTTAGGTTTTTATACTCTTTGTACTTTAATGCTGATGAAAAGTTAGTAATAGTTTTAACTTTTGGATCTTTATTTATACCCACCTATTTCTGCATTTTTCTTGATATCTTCCTTAGTAGGAGCTCTGCCATTTTGCTTCTTGAAACCGTATTCCCATGCCTTTATCTCAAGCTTCAGCTCTGTCTCTATAGAGCTCATGATTTTACTTCTATAATACTTTAATCAGTATTCAAATTGTTTCAATAAAATTGATTATTGCAAACGCGTAAACGCCAAATTAGAAAAAGTAGTGGCCCTGGCCATAAAACGAATTCGCGGATTCGCGAAACACAGGGAGAAAAAAATCCAAAAAAAGTTTCAGATCGCAAATTGAAAGATTGAAGGAAATGGACACATTAGTTTCATAATCAGGACAGAGATAATGCTTAGAAGAACTAGTGTTTCTGCATTGAGAACTAGACTAATACATTCCATTTCCACAAATGGCAAATGTGCTGCTTCAAACCTCAATAAGTCCATTTCAAGAGCTTCTTTCTCCACAGGTCAATGTTTAAATGGTGGATCATATCATGGCAAAAAATTCCAACAAATTCATCAAGATGAAGGAGAGATCTCACATTCAGATCGTTTGAAAATGGGTGGTAGACTAGCCGCTGAAGCTTTTAGACAAGAAGAACTTATTCAGGATGATGAATATTCGTTTGAAGATGACAAAGTTGAATTAGCCAACCCTGAACAATTTGAACATCAACAAAATAAAGTGGAGACTGAACAAGAAGAGATTGAAGAAGGTGACACACCATGGTATTTGAGAGAAGATGAATCATCAAAATTAGATACACCAATTTTCAAAACTGAGATTCCAGAGATACCAAAAGATGCACCATCTAATATTGAACCAATTTTAAAATTTGCAGCTGAAGAATTAGGTCTTGATGAATTGAAACTTTTTGATATTAGAAACCGTCAAGATATACCAGCTAGTGCTCACATTGATTACATGATTTTATCCACTGGTAAATCTGAAAGACACATTCAAAATGCAGTTGATGAGTTATCAGCTTTTTTAAAGAAGGAATTTAAAATTACACCGTTCGTTGAAGGTTTATTGAAAGCTAATTCTATACAGAGACAAAAGAAGAGAATGAAGAGAAAAGCTAGAAAAGGTACATATATTGATTTAGAATATGGTGTGGGACCAAACAGTTGGGTTATGGTGGATACTAAAACAAATGGTGTTTGTTTCCATGTCTTGACACAACAAAGAAGAGAAGCTGTTAATTTGGAATATTTATGGTGTAAGCCTGAAGAGAGAGAACAATACAAGAAGATTGGTGTTACAAAACAAGTTGATGATAATGTTGATTCCATTTTCCATGGATTACAAAGAAGAAATTATTCAACAAGTCGTTCTGAAGTTGTTGGTGATGAAATGGCTATACAACAATTTCAAATTGGTGATTTGAATTCATTTGATGGGTTAAAATTGACCAATCCAACAAGTTTCCTTAAACATGTTATAGATGATTTGAATTCAAAATCATTAGAAGAAGCACAACAGGAATATTCACAGTTTGATAACGCTAAAGTTGAATTTTTCAATAATGCATTCCCAATAATACCAACAAGACAAGATTTTGAACTCAGATATGAATTTTTTTCCATCTTGAATAAGATATTACCAGATTTTTATCCATTTGACAAATTAACAACAATTTTAATGGAACAATCATCAGCAGGTGAATTTATTACTAAACCACAATTTGATCAATATTTCCAAGATTTAATACTTGTTCAACAACCTCCAAAGGGTGAAATTATCACTCAACAAGAATTTAATGAATTGTTTAAATGGAAATTTTCCAATCTAACGAAAATTTTAAAAATAATGGATTTACAATCAAATGTTGAAATAAATAATGATTTTTTGAAAAACTTATTATTATTATCATCCCAATGTTATAATGAAGCTCATATTAATGATGTACCAATTTCAAGAAGTTTCAAGATACTGTTAGATCTTTATCATAATAATCAACCAGATTATACATTAATTTATTTAATATTATCAACATTTGGTAAAGATCAAAAATATTCAAATTTTCAAGAGTATTGGGAAAACAATTTACCAATTTATAATGTTCAAGATAATCATATTGAACTAGATACAAGACCATGGTTTATATTGATACAAGTGTTAGATGAATTAGATAAAGGGAAATTAAACGAATGGTTTATAAATTCTCAATTACCAAGATTGATTGAGAATAAAGTCATCATTGATACAGATATGAAACAACAAATTCATAAAATAATGGATTCATTCGGTGTTCCTGAACTAAAGAATACGATATAATTATAATGATAATGATAGACATGCATTTTGATTTTCCCTTGTATATAGATACCTCATGAATTTAATCATCTCTATTTAAATTACTATCCAAATAATCCACAAATAAAGGAATGATTCTATCAACATCCAAACTTCTAACTCTATTCAACGTGACAAAAGTTCTTCTTATTCTTTGTAATTTAGCAACACTAACCCCATCAATAGGTAAAGCCAAGAATAAATCCTCATCAATCTTTACTCTCCCAGTTTGTAAATCTTCAAACTCAATAACTTTATTAATAACAAATTGAGTCCCCTTATCCAACTCTTGCAAATAGTTAGTCTTTGTAGCAGGCTTCATCATAGTGGCAGCATTCGCCTGTGGGGGTTTAGCAAAGACTAGTGTATTCCAAATATCATCAAATGGTATATCCTTATCATCATATGCAATTGGAATCAATGGAGAATCCCATCTTGAGTTCCCATCAGGCTCTTCATATCTCATGCTCAATGCCTTTAATAGTTCTGGGTCCCATTTATCAGGTCTTTGCTCGTTCCATTCAAGACATGTGGATAATGGAGCCATGACGTGGATGACACAACAAGCTGTGGAAAGTGCTTTTGCTTCACAATGTAACTGGTATCTGAAACCTTTTATATAAGCTGGGGAATCTAGTATCACGATGTTATTACGAGAAATGTCTCTTTTCACTGCACTCATTTGTAAACCTCTAAGGGATTTTTCAGTTTTGGATTCTCTATATTCTTCTTTTTGTATTCCTAAACTTTCATCATTATGTAGTATAACTTTTAGATTTGCACCTGGTGAGGAAGGTGGGAGTGAGGCTATTTTGGAGAGTAGTTGTTCCTGTAGTGCCTTTGCACGGGTTGTCTTCCCAGAGGATGGAAGGCCTGAGAATATAACAAGTGGCATGGTGGTGATATTGGTTTTTGTTTATGGTTCATGTCAAGTTTACTCGGTGAAATATTTTTCTTTAGCATATATAGAAAAAAAAACTTTTCTGGGCCATACAATCACTTTAAAAGAGTAAGCCAAAATGACTACATTATTAAAGAAATTCATACCCAGAACCAAATTCCCTAATTATAGAGTCGCATTAACAGATTTCAAAGGACATCATGCCAAGGCACTGGCCAAATTAGATCAAATAGCACCTCAATTAGATTTGGTATTTGAGCTACGAGATGCAAGAGCACCAATCAGTACTAAAAATGTATTATTAGATCGTTCATTATCTCATAAACCCAAGATTATATTATATTCTAAAAAGGATTTAGCTAAATCAGATATCAAACTATTAAACAAATGGCATAAAGATGAAAAATTCATGTTGATTAGTTGTAAAAGTCGTTCAGATGCTACAAAGATTATTGATATTGCTAAATTACATTATCAACAAATGAATCCACCACCACCTTTAGGAATGAGAATGATTATAACAGGGATGCCTAATGTTGGGAAGAGTACTTTAGTCAACACACTAAGGGCAGTTGGAATGGGGTCTACTGCAAAAGTTGCCCAAACTGGTGGACAACCAGGTATTACTAGAGCTACAAGTAATATTATTAGAATCTGTGAGGAACCACCAATTTTATTATATGATACACCTGGTGTCTTTTTACCAAGGGTTGAGAATTCACAAAGAATGATTGTGCTAAGTCTTGTTGGAGCAGTGAGTACACACATTGTTGATCCGGTTATTCAAGCTGATTATTTGTTGTTTTTATGTAATTTACAAAATCCAAATTTATATTCAAGATATTTAAAACATCCATCAAATGAGGTTTATACGTTATTATCTAAAGTTGCTAAAAGGAATAACATGTATAATTATAGACTCAAGTCTTATGATGAAAAAAATGCAGCTATTCATTTTGTTCAGATGTTTAGAAATGGTAAATTGGGAGGTAAAGTTAAATTTGATGTTGAAACTATAGTGAAGGATGATATTTTCAACTATCAGGAGTATAATAAACAAGAGACACAGAGATTAGAAGAGATGGATATTGTTCTGAATAGGGCCAAGCCTAAGGATCGTAACACAGAGGAGGATAAGATTGCCAGAAGAGTGAACAAGTTGTTTTGATGAATATTGTATATAGTACTGAATGGTCACGTGACAGGCTCTTTTTTTTTCTTTTTTTCGTACACGGTAAATCAAAAAGAGCGTTGAAATTATCAGCCCATATTAAACTCAATTCGACACAGACAACCTGGAGAACGTTGAGTATGGGGATTCTGCGTGGTCTAAAGAGGTGCATACTGATATGGATTCACTCAATTGTAACCACTGTCTCTTGATCTCTCAACTGCTATAAAACAGCCAGATTCTAATCCCTCGGCCAAGCTGTCCCTCCGTGACATAAGCAGTGGTGGTGTCTGGGTGTTTACGTTTTACGTTTCACCTTGGTTCGATTGGCTGCTTTTGAAAGAAGCAAAAGAAGAGGTGAATGGGAGTGGTAACAGTGAGTAGGATCACTATCTACTCTCTAATTAATTATAGTCTACTACTTTTATTAATAGCCACTCCCATTTCCCCCTGTATTTCATTTAATTCCACGCACTTCTTCTTTCGTCCTTTCTCGAGGAATTTTTTATGTGCTGCATCCAACATGAAAAAACATAAAACCCATGAAAATTCTTTTGTATTCGCTTCTTCCGTCTATCACATATCCACGTATTTATACAATCCATTGCCCTCAGCTCAGATAAAAGTGTTACCATACACTATCACACATCCCATGATATAACATACAACACCAATCTTCTCAATATGGACAGTACGTATCATATCGGATCTATCCATGACCCATAAATATAAGCATACTAACCGATTAGAACGCAACTACCCTCATATTGATATAAACCATCTACAATCAATCAACAAACCAACAATCATCAAGACCTCAAAGAATTGGGTCCTACCTCCAAGACCAAGACCTGGTAGAAAACCAACTACACAATCCAATACACAATCCCAATCATCAACATCATCAACAACTACAACATTTCAACCGCAACAAGCTCAACCTCAACCTCAACAACCGAAAAAAACCAAAAAGAAAGATGTTTCAATTCAAAATGCATTGAAAAAGATTCAAGATGAAAATCAATCCTTAAAATTAGAATTATCAAAATTAGTATCAGATTTGAAAACTCTTCAATCTGAAACTTCCCAATTTGAAACTTCAAATTCTTCATCATCATCATCACCAAATTCATTACATAAAAAGAGAAACCATTTAGAAATGGAGGATGAATTAACTTCATATAAATCATTATCATTATTTGATGAATCTGATGATGATAATTCTTCACAAATCTCCACTCCAAGTTTGATGTCAAATAGTTCAAGTTCAATAGGCTCAACTTTATCAAGTGTTCCTGAAGATGATGTCTTGAAGATTGAAGATTTTTTAAATCTAAGTTATTTTGAAAATTCCACAAATGGTACAATTTCAATTCCTCCTACTTCACAACCTTCAAAGAAACCAATTATGGGGTTTAAGAAAAACGAACAACATGAAAATATTGAGTTTCAATTCTTAAAAGATCAAGGTGTGTTTAAAGGTGACAAAGATTTGTTTTTAGAAGTTGGAAACAATATCGAACAAGAAATTATTGAATGGTGAAGAAACAAAAACCTTTGAAAGGTTATAAACGAATAGAATTAATGTTAATATTCCAAATGAAAAAGAAAAAAAAAGAGAGAGATTACGAGATCAATGAGTTTTCGGCAATGAAAGTTATTATTTTTTTAATGAGATTATGAATGAATTAAAGGGAAAGAAAAGAACGTAATGTGATCCTGAAGTTTATACGTCTGCAAGAGATATTGAATTTATGAAATATGTGTTTTTTGAATGAAAAATGTAGAATCAGTACACGTTACACGGCGTATAAATCTATGATTTCATCGAGATTTACGTGTACTTTATGCAAAATTGGCTATTTCGGTTATTTCATTCTGCCAGGTTTCATACAGTTTTGAGGTTAAGTCCCAACGTCACGTGACTATATATTTTTACGTGTCTCGATAATTTTATACGCGTTTTAATATTTGGAAAACATCACCTACAAAAAACAATTCAAAAAGATTCAAATCATAAGAACAAATCATGTCACAGGATACTTCAGCAATAGACTCCCTTCTAGGTCTTAACCTAGACCAACCAGCAGCTGACCAACCTTTACCAAAACCACGTAAACGTATAAATAATTTAAATGAATCTCATTTCCTAGGTATAAAAGGTTTATCATATATCAAGAAAAATCAAAAACAAATTAGATCAAAATTGAATCATAAAGATGATTACAAGAATTTAACAAATTTATTAAATTTTTATCAATTATGGGGGCATTCAATTTATCCAAAGGCAAATTTTAAAGATTTTTTAGATATGACAGTTAAAGTTGGTTCGAAATCAAAATTATTGAAAAGACAAAGACAAGATTGGTTAAATCAAGAGATGGGTGTTGAAAAATATAGTTCCCTTAAGAATGAAGGTTTGCAACAAGATATAGATAACCCACAAGATAGAGATAATGTGAATAATCAAGGGTCTGATGATGAAATGAATGATAATAATAATAATGACGATGATGATGATGATCAAGTGGTGAAGCAACGATCAAAAGGTAATAGATTATTTGTTGCTGAAGATGAAAGTGACGATGATGATGATTTATATGCAGTTCCAAAGAGAAGAGTAGAGAAACTATTGTCCCAGGGTGATAATGAAGAAATAGGAAAAGATACCATAGCGAAAGAGAATACAGAAGATAAAGAAGAAGAAGATAAACAAAATAAAGACCCACACACCCAAAAGAAAGGTCTTCAAGATTTCAATGATGATTTTGAAGACGATGATGATGATGATTTTGATCAAATTTTGGAAAAACCAGCACCACCACCACCAACGCAACACCAACCTGAGGAGGATCCAGATGCCGTGATGAGAGAACTACAGCAGCCTCAACCTCAAGACGAATACGATGAAGATGAAATAGAGTATGAAATAATGAGAGAAGCTGGATTTTAATATAGAAATTACTAATTTATTACATAATTTGTAGTGTGGCTGACATAATACTGTGGATTAAAAAAATGAAATTTGTCATAATCAAACCACAATTTTAATCATACAATCATCGATTACAGAATTATTGTGGTTCATTTTTTTTGTTGCTGCGCTGTTGCTTGAAACTGTGGATTTATTACAAATCCAAGGAAAAAGTGCTGAAAGCGGTAAATAGCTTCGGATCTGTTTCTCATATTGGGTTAGATTTGGTTTCATGGGTGTGTTGTTGTAATGTGTGGTTTATTCCAGAGTATAAAGATTGTTTGGTATCCACTTTTTTCATGAATCAGGTTCTTTTCTGTTGAAAGTTAACAAGAATAGAAATCATGACAAACGACCAAGTTGACGTTCAAGTTTTAGATACAAGAGTATCAATCTCAAGAGATAAATTGAAAAGGAAATTAAAGACTTTGAAAGATAAAGATCCAAATACCCAAATCGTATTAAATGATCGTACTCTTAGTATAAGCTCTACAGATTCAGAAGATCTAGGTGATAAACTAGATCAAAGCTCATCCTCTGATGAAGAAGAAATTCATCAAACAAAAAAACAAAAAGTTGAACAAGAACCAAAACAAGAAAAAAAACTCAAGACCGTTGAAGAGACCAAACCAACTTCAACTTCCCTAAAGAGATCAGATTCACAAACTGCAGTTGTGATAAATTCATTTGATGAAGATTTCACCATTGATTATAATTATCCAATCCCTGAATTAGGTGAATATGAAATCTTGATTGAAAATAAATATATTGGACTAAATCCAGTAGATTGGAAAGGTAAGAAATATAAATTTGGTATTTATTCATTCCCATGGATCCAAGGTCGTGAAAGTTCAGGGATTGTGCAAAAAATTGGTTCAAAAGTTTCAAATTTAACAAAAGGTGATAAAGTTTTCATTGCATCAACTTCTTATAGAGATTTAAGAACTTCAACTTTCCAAAATTTTACAATTTTCGATTCAAGATTAGTTTGGAAATTACCTGAAAATATCTCATTAAAAGAAAGTTGTACAATTGGTGTTGGTTTGATTACTGCAGGTTCAGTATTGGAAGAGTTAAATGTTAATTTATTTGATCATGAAGAATTTGATAAGGCAAAATTATTACATCAACGTGAAAATTTGTTAATTTGGGGTGGTTCAAGTGGTGTTGGTTCTTATATTATTCAATTAGCTAAAGTTGCAGGTTTCAAAAAAATTATAACAGTGGCTACTCTAAAACATACTGATTTTTTACACAAGATTGGTGCGACTCATGTTTTGGATAGATTTAAATCCAAAGAAGATTTGATTAAAGATTTAAAAGAAATTGTTCCAGAAGGTTTACAAATTGGTATTGATGTTGTTGGTAAAGAAACTACAGATACTGTTATTGAATTTTTAAATGTAAATAAAGTGGAAAATGAAGCGAAAACTTTTGTTGGTGTTGTTACAAAGCCTTCAAAAGATTTAGATTCAAAATTATTGGAAAATATTGAAGTTAAACAAGTTTTAATTAAAAAATTCCATGAAAATTTAAAATTTGGTGAGAATTTGGTTGCAAAGACTTGGGAATTATTATCAAATGAGCAGATAAAACCTCAAAAGAATTTAAAAATATATAAAGGTTTTGAAGGTATATTGAATGGGTTAAAAGATTTGGAAAAATTTGGTGCAAGTAATGAAAAATATATAGTTGAACTATAGACAATTGGGAAAAGGGGAGAACGATATAGGTTAGAATCATTAATTAATTACAAAATATTCATTTGACGTTTGAAATACATTGATTGTAGTTCTGTTCTGTGTTTTTTTGATGAGAATTTGATTATTTCGCATCGGATCGGCTCAGATATTTTTCAGAAATTGTGGCATCTTTTTTTTTTCAATTCATCAACAAAATCACACAATTTAACGAGATTTTAGTATGATGAAACCAATCAGGAACGCTATCTTGATGGGCTTATGGATTCAAAGCTAATCACTTGATCATGTCATGCTGGTTAGAAGTTGTTGAAATGGGTATAAAACCATCAATGAGCACCAAATCATGAATATAGTTAATTGTTATGATTAATCAAAAAATGACACAACCAACAAAGAGACATAAAGCTGAGAGAAAACCTCTAATCATAAATGCATTTCTTATGGGGTCTTCAGGCCACCAAAGTGCTGGTATTTTTTCCCATCCAAGAGATAAATCAACTGAATTATACACATCAATTGAATATTGGCAAAATTTAGCTAGACTATTAGAAAAGGGTAAATTCCATTCATGTTTCATTGCAGATGTCTTGGGTCCTTATGATGTTTATAATGGTCCACGGAACTATGATGCTGTTGCCATATCTGGTGCTCAATGGCCAATATCTGATCCAAGTTATTTCATCCCAATAATGGCTAGTGTCACTGAAAATTTAAATTTTGGTATGACTTTTAGTACTATCAGTGAAGAACCTTATCATTTGGCTAGAAGATTAGGGACATTGGATTTAATAACAAATGGTAGATTAGGTTGGAATATAGTGACAAGTTATTTAGAGAGTGGTGCAAGAAATTTACTGGGTGGGAAGCCATTACCTGAACATGATGAACGTTATGAAAGATGTGATGAATATACTAAAGTGATTTATAAATTGTTGTTGAGTTCATGGAGAGATGATGCTGTGGAATTGAATAAACAAGAGCGAATCTTTACAAATCCAAAAGGCTTGAGAGAAATTAATCATGAAGGTAAATATTTCAATGTTCCTGGTCCTTCAATTACACATCCATCAAGACAAAGATTACCAGTTATTATCCAAGCAGGTTCTTCACCAAGAGGTATGGAATTTGCAGCTGAAAATGCAGAAGTTGTTTTCCTTTCAGGATTTTCACCTGAATTATTAGCTCCAAGGATTGCTAAAATTAAACAATTATCAGTTGAGAAATATAATAGACCAAAAGATTCAATTAAATTCCTAAGTTTAGTTACAATAGTTGTTGGGAAAACACAAAGTGAAGCACAGGCAAAATATCAAGAATATAAAAGTTTCACCAATCCAGAAGGTTCACAAGCATTATTTAGTGGATGGTCAGGTTTTAATATCGGACAATTGGATCATGATCAAGAATTAGGTGATGATGTCAAGTCACAAGCTATCTCATCATTTATTGAAAATTGGAAAAAAGCTGTTCCAGGTGTAGAGAAATGGACTAGAGATGTCATTACTGATGAAATTAGAATTGGTGGATCAGGTCCAAGAATTGTAGGGACACCTGAATCAATTGCAGATGAGTTAGAAAGATGGGTTGATGTAGCAGGTGTTGATGGTTTCAATTTTGCTTACACTGTGTTACCTGAATCTTATGAAGATTTAATTGAATTATTGATTCCTGAATTACAAAAAAGAGGTTTGGCTCAAAGGGAATATGCTGTGCCAAATGGTAGTTTTAGAGAACAATTATATGGGAAAGGTCAAGTGTATCCAAGAGATGATCATCCAGGTTCAAAATATCAATGGAGATCTGGTGTTACACAGGAAATTTTTGAAAAAAGTTTAAAAGAGAATGGTTTATAAATTCTATAGATATTTATGTTCATCAATAGCATATTTGATAATCTTTCTTAAATTTGTTGTAGTTAATTCTGGCTTGAAGCCTAATAGTTGAATACTTTTCTTATTATCAACATTAGTTTCTGATTCAGCTGGTTCAGTTTTTGGTACACCTTTTGGAATTTTCCCCTTTAATTCATTGAATTCATTACCAACATCTAAAACATCTTGCTGAGTTAATCTATTACTGGAAATCAACAATCTTTGATTTGAAATCTCAGGATTTGTAGCTGCAACATAATGAGCTTTTGCAACATCTTCCACAGCTATAGTCAAATAATTCAATGGTTCAACTTTATCTTCAGATTCAGCTTTCAATGATTTTAATAATAATTTTGCAGCACCATTTATATCATCACCTTTAAATAATGGGGCACCTAATATCATAGAAGCACCAATTGTAGCAACTTTAAAACTTGGTGATCGATCTTGAACAAATTGGAAAATTTCCCTTTCAGAGAATTTTTTGGAAGCTGAATAACCAAAGAACCCATTTAACTTACCTTGTTCATAAGTTACACTACTCCAAGATTCTTCATTGACTGGATCAAATCCCATAACATTAGTATTGAATGCAGATATTGAGGAAGTGTAAACAAATTTTTCCAAATTTGGAGCATTTCCATTCAAGACTTTCAAAATGTTTGTAGTGGCATTAATATTTGGTTTTAAAAGATCTTTTTCAGATTCTTTAGAGAAAATATTCATTGCAGCAGCTGTATGAATGAAGTATTTTAAATTATTTGAATATTTTGAAACAACTTTATAAACTTGATCAAAATTAGCTAAATCTTCAATCACTTCAACTGAAAAATTTGAATTTGAGAATTTCTCAACAAGGTCCAACCCCTTTTCTTGTGATCTAACAGTTCCAATAACTTTATAACCTTCATCAATGAATTTTTTAATGACATATTGAGCAAGAAACCCAGTTGCACCTGTAACAATAACTAAGCTAGACATGGTTGGATTGATTACTTGAATGAGGAAAGAATTGGTGAATTGAAAATTGGATTGGGGGTTGATTGGTTTTTCAGAGCAAGAATTTGTTGTTGTTTATAGAGAAAATGTAAATTTGATTTGTCAAATTAAACCAACACCGAGTACAATCGTAATCGCCGTGTTAACTCCGGCGGAGGAACGAGAATTTAAAAGTGAATGAAGTAGTGGGAAATGAAGGAATTCAATAATATTTAAATAGACCATGTGTTATAAAATTTTATTCTGATTATTCTGGTACTAATTTCAAGGCAATATCTTGAGTTTTCGAAAATTGAAAATATTTGGATTTATAAAAATTTGAAATTAAATTAATAAACTTCAAGTTATTAATCTAGAAAATTGAAAATTAATCATTGACAATTACATAATTATTTAACTTTTAAACTGTTTATAACACATATTACCCATATTATTAATCAATTAGTATACAGTAGCACCGTTTATATTTATGTACTCTTTATTTAAAGTAACTATCTAGTGCTCAAGTACCGGTTTGGCTTTGAAGCCTGAAATTGTCTCTATTGTGGATCAGCTCCTGCTTGTTTTTGCTCAGCAGTAAACTTCCCACTTATTCTAACCATATATGACAACATTCAGTCAATTACACTTCATTAAAGCCACTATATACCATATTCAAAAAATCAAAAGTTACCCTACCCACCAAGACAACATAGTACCTCAGCGCCATTTTTTTCGTTGATCCGGGTTGCGTAGTGTAGAGGTTATCACCATGGATTCTGATTTTTAATTGATCTGGACATTCCATAAACCCCGGTTCGAATCCGGGCGCGACCGATCGCCTTAAATCGTTTTTTTTTGGTGCGTTTTGCTTTATTTTTGCTTTTTTTTTTGTATTTATATATTCTTTGGGGAATTCTCTTTCTGGTGATCTATTTTTTAGTTATGGTTGTCTATTTTGTTGTTGTGTTGTGATGGGGTTTTTGTTGGAGCGATTTTTTCAACAAAATTTGTATATCCGAGATGTCATGAAAAAAGATCTCTACAAATTGCAAAATTCTTCATAAACGATTGATTCATTACTAGTTAAACAACATGATAATAATAATAATAATAATAAGAATAATAATAAAAATAATAATAAATGGAATTAAGAATAGTACTCAACATCTTAACTACTCTAGTCTAAAAAAGCACACCAACACCTTGTAATATATATAACCCTTTTGTTTTGTTTTTTTGATTTCTTGTTTCTAACTTGTAAGTTTATTTTTTCTTCTATTTATAATAGTGGAAGTATCTAAACTTAATTCAAATGGATTTGAACTTTCTTCAATATGATTATGATGATTATGATGACGACGATGTTGTTGTTGTTGTTGATCTTGGTTTTTATTATTTGATAAATCAACTTGTTGAATATAACGACCCGATCTTGTTTCTAAATCTCCATGTTTTGGAGAACCAGCATCCATTATTTCATCTTCTTCTTCCTCCATAATTTGTTCAGTATTTAATTTATTTTTTTGAAATTTTTTATCATTTAATAATTTTTCTTCACCAATTCTATGAACAGCATTACTTATATCAAAAGCATCCTTCATAGCTCTAGCAGCAGGAGAATAAACAGGTTCAGTTCTTTTGAAATTTGAATAAATAGTCTTTTTAGGTCTTTTAAATTCAACTTTATTCAACCAAGGATCATTTAAAAATTCATCAATAGTATATCTTTTATTTGGATCCACAGTTAATAAATTTTTAACACAATTTTTAGCACCAGAACTAATTTCATCCCACCAAGGTTGTAAAAATTTATAATCACCTCTTGCAACTTTTTCAGTTAATACATCAATTTTTTCATCATAAAAAGGTGGGAATCCACATAATAATGTATATAAAACACAACCAATAGCCCACATATCAACTTCCTTGGAATAATGTTCATCTTTAACAATTTCCGGAGCAGTATATCCAACAGTACCACAGGGGGTTTTAGTTTCATCAAACCAAATTTGTTTTGATAATCCAAAATCAGCCAATTTAACTAACCCAATACCACCACCTCCAACACCATTTAAAAATTCACCTTCATCAACTTTACTATTTGGATCATCAGATTTCCTTAATTTTCGTTGCTTGGAAGGTATGATTGGGATTGGTTGAAATAATAAATTTTCAGGTTTAATATCACGATGAACAACACCAATTTCTTCATGTAAATAACGAATTGATAACCCAACTTGTTTTATAACATGTCTTGCTAAATCTTCAGAAAAATAAGTAAATTTAACAATTTCATTAAAAATTTCACCTCCTGGAACTAATTCTTGAATAATATAATAAAATTCTTCAACTTCTTTAAATTCAATAAATTTAACAATATTATCATGATTTAATTGTCTCATTATTGTAGCTTCTTTTAAAACAGATTTTTTTTGATTATTATCCAATTGTAATTTTTTAATAATCTTGATAGCAACTAATTCATTAGTTAATAAATTCAAAGCTTTAACCACAATGGAAAAGGCACCTTCGCCTAATTTATCAATGATTTTATAATGTTCCAAACCTTTATATTGATTACTATTGTTCTTCTGTAATTTCAACTCTTCCTTAACTAATTCACTAGCTAGATCGTTATAATTGTAATAATTCTTCTTCTTGTCTTGTATTATAGTTTCATTACTATTATCACTCAAACTTTCAGCATGGACTTGCTCCATCATCTTGGAGTCCACTTGGAACTCACTAGCATCGAAGGGAACATCCACAGCCAGTTCATGGGCTTGTTTGCCCTGACGGATAAAGTTCTTGATGTTCTTTGTTGTCATTAGTTTTGTCTGTTCTTTGGATGAATAAGAAGTTGAAAAGTTTTAACTCACTTTAAACATTTTGAAGTGTCTCCTTTCTTAAATCTCCAATCTCTCGATCAGGATAAATGAAAATTATTTAAATGTCTTTGCCCAAAGTTTATAATTGCTAATGGCAATGGACGCGGTTTTTTTGTTTTTTTGTTCTCTGTAGCAATAAAGAGAAATTAGTTAAGGAATTAGTTAAGGAATTAATTAAAAATGAAGTAATTAATGATTAACGAGTGTAATCTGTTATAAGGCTCAGTTAACAAGGCTAAGCTTATTGCCCTCTGGCGGTTATTCTCTGGCCATTATCCAGCTCTTGTTGCTCAAGAGCAAGCGCAGCGTATCAGGCTGATGTCACTAGTAAGAATAGCCGAATTAGGTAAAGGCTTAGTAATGGGTATAGTCACGTGATGAATGCAAAACACATTCGCGGAAAAGAATATTTGATTACATTTGGATTCAATAAACAACATTGGAATCATTCATTTGCCACAACTCAAGGAATAAGGAAGATGGCGGTGGTCAATGGTGTGGTGCAGTCTCTGGATCTGAAGCTCATACAGATATTCAACGGCTTGGGACCCAAGCGGCCAAAGAAGAGAAAAGCTAGTGTGCTGGATAGAAATGGTGAGACACTTTACAATGATGATGGAGATGATAATACTGAAGATTCCCTGGGTATTAAAGATCCAACTTATCTCACCATAGCTGATACCTCTATAAAAGCTCAAGGTCAAGTACCCAGACCTCCAAATGAAGAGTCACCACAACAAGTTGGTTCAGTTTTACAATTGGATGATATATCATTAAATTTCCAAAATTCAATATTGATTATTCAAAATAAACCAAGACAAAAATATAAAACTAAAAACACCATGTCTTTGGAGATTAAAGATGAAATTTACAACCAAATTGGACCTCATGAAATTAAATTTTGCAGAAATTTAAAATTAAAACATGCTTCAAGTGTTAAATTGTCTTATCCTAAATTATCAATCCAATTCTTATCTGTTGAACAAGATCATTATGAAATTGAAGTTTTAATAGATTATAAAGTGGAATTAATAGAATCATTAGCACTAAATACCCGTCTGACTGATACTCAACTCGGATACATAAAAGATTTGATCAAATCCATTGCTGTGTATCCCAATCCACCACAATCAAATATTGAAATCAATACAAAATTTTTCTATGATATGATTACCCAACATACAGAATCCATACCCAAAGAGACAAAACCTTTGTTAGTATCAGAATTAGATACAGACCTTTTAAAATTCCAAACAACTTCTGTTAAATGGTTATTAACAAAAGAAAATGTCCTCTATGATGATGAATCTCGTTCTGTTAAACCATCTCCAATTTGGTCCAAATCAATGTCTAATGATGATGAGAAAGTTTTAAAAGCGCTGGATTCAATTTCATTTGGATTTAAATTAATTAAAATCCCGTTCTATGATGAAGAACTTTGGTATAATGATTATACTCAAAATATTTGTTCGAAAAATAGAGCTATTGAATTCCTAACAGATTGGGATTTTGCAAATATAGGTGGTACTGGATTATTAGCTGAGGAAATGGGTCTAGGTAAAACTGTCGAGACTGTTGCGCTAACCCTATTGAATCAAAGACCTTTTAATGATATTAATCAAAATTATTTTGAAACTTCATTACAAAGAATGGTTAAAAAATTGAAATCAACTTTAATAGTGTGTCCTGAATCTATTCTACATCAATGGTGTGATGAAATTGAATTACATGCTCCAAGTTTAACAATCATGATTTACAAAGGAATCAATTCAAGTAAACAAACTTGTACTGAATTAGTGGAGGAAATGAGTAAACATGATATCATCCTGACTTCATATAGTGTCATATCAAGAGAAATTCATAATGCCCTATATAACCCATCTTCAAGACCTAAAAGACAAAGAAGAACTCCAACTCCAAGATTTTTAGAATTGGAATTAGATCCTTCAATTGATATAGAACCTGAAGCTTTAGAAAGTTTAAAACAAATTTATCAACAAATTGATTCTGATAGGAAACTAATAAGAGATCGGGATGATCATTCTTCACCTCTTGTGATGTGTGAATTTTGGAGAATTATAATGGATGAAGTTCAAATGGTGGGGAAAACTTTATCAAATGTTTGTAAAATTGCTACAAGAATCCCCAGATTCCATTCATGGGGTGTTTCAGGTACTCCAATTAAGAATGAACTAAGTGATTTGAATTCAATCCTATCATATTTAAGAATTGAACCTTTCGGATCTTTGAAAAATTGGGAATCACTTGTGGGGAAACCAAATGATTTTATAAAATTGTTCAAAAATTTATCTCTAAGGCATACTAAAGAAATGGTTAAATCAGATATATCTATCCCCCCACAGGAAAAATATTTATTAAGTGTTCCATTTGGTCCTATTGAACAAAATAATTATGAAGAATTATATAAACAATTCTTGAATGAAGTTGGTTTAGATGTTGATGGGAACCCCATAGTGGAAAATTGGGAACCTTCACAATCCTATTATGATTATATGAGTCATTGGTTGAAAAAATTAAGAAGAGTTTGTTGTCATGCTAATATTGGGAATAATGATCATCAAAGCGGTAATGAAAATTCAGCATTACAAACAATGGATCGTGTTTTGAAAAATATGATTGAAATTGCTCAAGATAGGGTTAATCAATTGAATAGAGACATAACTTTGAAAAAAATTGAAATTGGTCAAGTTTATGAATTTGAAAAAAAACCTGAAAATGCCCTTGATGTTTGGTCTCAAGAATTACCAAATGTTGAGAAAAGAATTGAATCTCTACAAACCCTGTCAATCAATAATGATAAATCAAAATTAAACCTTAGAATCAATTTGGATCTATTACATAGATTATATTTCTTCATTGCTTCTGCCCATTATCAATTATACAACCCATCCATAACAGAACTAGTACCAGGGATTGATAAAGATATGTTACCACATGATGTTGACCCAAGACTAGGAGGTGATGAACATATCAGCCCAGACGTTGTTGTCTACAGAGTTTTAACTGAACAAGAATCAAATCATCAAGATTTAGAACAAGAATTTTATACAAAAGCTCAAAATGTTCGGAAAACGCTATTAGCTGAACCTATCAAGAATGTTTCAAATTCAGTGATGAAATTAGATCGGAATTTTCAATTGGAATTTATTGATTTCATACCTAAAAGTTTCCAAACTTTAGATACCCAGGCATTCTCAACAAGAGTTGGTACTGTTATAACTCAATTGAATTCACAATCAAGTTTATTAAACAATTGGTTGGGAAAACTTGTGAATGCAATAAGCACACCTTTATTAGATGGGGTTACTGATCCAGATGGTGAAGAATATGGTGAATCTTTAGATGATCAAGAAAAAGCAGCTGCATATCTTGATGTATTACAGCGTGCCATCCAGGATAGACATTCTTTAATATTTGGTAAGAATGATCATGGGGATTTTGAAAAAATTGATGCTATTGTGGAGAGTTCAGATTCAGATTTTAAAGATCAATTGGAACAAGAATATCCTAAAATTATGATGGAGTTTTCACTAAGACATTTGGTTATTGAATCTAAAACTATATTGGCTGGTATGACTGTTGTGCAAGATATGGATCCATTTGCTAAATTAATTGTTGAAGTTCGTAAAATATTGGAATTACAAAAGGAAAATATGGATTCAGTTAAGAAATTTTTCAAAATTATTAATGATTGTTATAATTTGAGAATCACTTATTTTAGACAATTACAAGATTTATCAGATAATGTTAGACCTTTTGATGAATATTCTCATGCAAATTATGATTGTATGGAGAATCTTTTAAAATTGAAGAATAAAATTGAAATTGATGAAAAAAATTTAACTTCAATCCATTCAAGAATCCGTTATTTACAATCATTATCAAGTGCTGAAACAGATGAATCTGATAAATTATGTGTTGTTTGTCGAAGTTCAATCACTATTGGTTCTTTAACAAAATGTGGTCATCAATATTGTAAAGATTGTTTGGATCATTGGTTAGCTCGTCATTCAAAATGTCCAATTTGTAAACAAAGTATTACAAAAGTTGATGTTTACAATTTCACGTTTAATAGAGATGAGATTAATGTTAGGATGATTACGGAAGAGAGTAATGAAGAAATGTTTCAAGTTTATCATAAAATGGATAAGAATAATCTTTATGATATCAATTCTATCAAAATTAAAAATAACTTTGGTTCAAAAGTTAATACAATTGTTAAACAAGTGTTGTGGTTGAAAAAACATGATCCATATGTTCAAATTGTTATTTATAGTCAATGGACTCAATTATTACAAATTATTGGGAATGCATTTAGACAAAATGGTATAACTTATTTAGGCTCCAAAAACACATTACCAAGGATTGGGAAAGGTAAAAAAACTGCATTAAAATCTGATATTGCACAGTTTAAGAAAAATCCAGAAATAACTTGTTTTTTATTAAATGCAAAAGCTGAAGCTTCAGGTTTAACTTTGGTTAATGCTACGCATGTGTTTATTTGTGAACCTTTAGTGAATACAGCTTTGGAATTACAAGCAATTAGTCGTATTCATAGAATTGGTCAAAAGAAACCAACATTTGTTTGGCTTTTTTCAATCACTGGAAGTGTTGAAGAGAGTATAATCTTGTTATCAACAAGAAAGAAGGTGAAGGAACGTGAGAAATTAGATACTGAAGAGATGACTAAAACAGTAAACAAACTTGTTGAAGCAAATGGTGAACATGTTAATCCTTCAGATCTTTGGAATTCTTTCTTCAGCGCAAAGATTGATAGAATTGTGTAGAAGATACAAGGTATGCAATATTGCAAAATTATAATACAATTAATGATTAATGTTTACAGCATTTGTAGCAAAAATTTCAACTTCAGCCTTGAGATCAACGGTTCTGAGTAAAAAACCTGGTTTCAGGGACACACCATACAAAGAAAAATTGTCAGGTATTACATAACCAGAATAACTAATTATGCACAATTCATCAATACTCAACATTTCACATCAACTATAAGAAGAATCAAGAATCCACAAATTGTAACATTATATGTATATTAATAGAACATCGGAATTGCCTTATATATACACAGTAGAGGATATTCTGTCAGGTTAAAACCACGAATAAAATAAAACAAGTGATCATTAAATCAACATCAACTAGAAACAATGGCTGTTACAAGAAATTCCAACAGAAGAAACACCTCTTCAACCTCTTCAACCTCTTCAACAACTAGAGTAACCAAAACCAGAAAACCAGCTAGAAAAACCAAAGCTAATCCTCGTGTTACAGCAATTGAAAACAATATTTCTGCATCACATGCTGCATCAACATCTGAAAACACACCAAACTCAACCACTTCAGAAGAAAATTTTTCAACAAATGGTGCTCAACAAGCTGCATTATCTGCACAAAATGAAAATTTTTCTAATTCAACTGAAACGGACCATGAAACAAATGGGTCAAAT